AATCTCTTCAATGTAGATAACTTTCCTGTCTGGTTTCAGGTATAGATCTACAATCAGTCGTCCACAGATATTTCCTAGCTTGCTACAGGTATTAATCCGGAACTTAAGAAGGCTGGCCGATGAGATAGTTTTCCTGTCTGGTTTCAGGTATTAATCTCTGACCTGAGAAAGAAAGATAGTTTTCCTGTATGGTTTCAGGTATTAATCTTCAATCTCTTCAATGTAGATAACTTTCCTGTCTGGTTTCAAGTATAGATCTATAATCAGTCGTCCATAGATATTTCCTGGCTTACTACAGGTATTAATCCGGAACTTTAGAAGGCTGGCTGATGAGATAGTTTTCCTGTCTGGTTTCAGGTATTAATCTCTGACCTGAGAAAGAAAGATAGTTTTCCTGTCTGGTTTCAGGTATTAATCTTCAATCTCTTCAATGTAGATAACTTTCCTGTCTGGTTTCAGGTATAGATCTACAATCAGTCGTCCACAGATATTTCCTGGCTTGCTACAGGTATTAATCCGGAACTTAAGAAGGCTGGCCGATGAGATAGTTTTCCTGTCTGGTTTCAGGTATTAATCTCTGACCTGAGAAAGAAAGATAGTTTTCTTGTCTGGTTTCAGGTATTAATCTTCAATCTCTTCAATGTAGATAACTTTCTTGTCTGGTTTCAGGTATAGATCTACAATCAGTCGTCCACAGATATTTCCTGGCTTGCTACAGGTATTAATCCGGAACTTAAGAAGGCTGGACGATGAGATAGTTTTCCTGTCTGGTTTCAGGTATTAATCTCTGACCTGAGAAAGAAAGATAGTTTTCCTGTATGGTTTCAGGTATTAATCTTCAATCTCTTCAATGTAGATAACTTTCCTGTCTGGTTTCAAGTATAGATCTATAATCAGTCGTCCATAGATATTTCCTGGCTTACTACAGGTATTAATCTGGAACTTTAGAAGGCTGGCTGATGAGATAGTTTTCCTGTCTGGTTTCAGGTATTAATCTCTGACCTGAGAAAGAAAGATAGTTTTCCTGTCTGGTTTCAGGTATTAATCTTCAATCTCTTCAATGTAGATAACTTTCCTGTCTGGTTTCAGGTATAGATCTACAATCAGTCGTCCACAGATATTTCCTGGCTTGCTACAGGTATTAATCCGGAACTTAAGAAGGCTGGCCGATGAGATAGTTTTCCTGTCTGGTTTCAGGTATTAATCTCTGACCTGAGAAAGAAAGATAGTTTTCTTGTCTGGTTTCAGGTATTAATCTTCAATCTCTTCAATGTAGATAACTTTCTTGTCTGGTTTCAGGTATAGATCTACAATCAGTCGTCCACAGATATTTCCTGGCTTGCTACAGGTATTAATCCGGAACTTAAGAAGGCTGGCCGATGAGATAGTTTTCCTGTCTGGTTTCAGGTATTAATCTCTGACCTGAGAAAGAAAGATAGTTTTCCTGTCTGGTTTCAGGTATTAATCTTCAATCTCTTCAATGTAGATAACTTTCCTGTCTGGTTTCAGGTATAGATCTACAATCAGTCATCCACAAATATTTCCTGGCTTGCTACAGGTATTAATCTGGAACTTAAGAAGGCTGGCCAATGAGATAGTTTTCCTGTCTGGTTTCAGGTATTAATCTCTGACCTGAGAAAGAAAGATGGTTTTCCTGTCTGGTTTCAGGTATTAATCTTCAATCTCTTCAATGTAGATAACTTTCCTGTCTGGTTTCAGGTATAGATCTACAATCAGTCGTCCACAGATATTTCTTGGCTTGCTACAGGTATTAATCCGGAACTTAAGATGGCTGGCCGATGAGATAGTTTTCCTGTCTGGTTTCAGGTATTAATCTCTGACCTGAGAAAGAAAGATAGTTTTCCTGTCTGGTTTCAGGTATTAATCTTCAATCTCTTCAATGTAGATAACTTTCCTGTCTGGTTTCAGGTATAGATCTACAATCAGCCGTCCACAGATATTTCCTGGCTTGCTACAGGTATTAATCCGGAACTTAAAAAGGCTGGCCGATGAGATAGTTTTCCTGTCTGGTTTCAGGTATTAATCTCTGACCTAGGAAAGAAAGATGGTTTTCCTGTCTGGTTTCAGGTATTAATCTTCAATCTCTTCAATGTAGATAACTTTCCTGTCCGGTTTTAGGTATAGATCTACAATCAGTCATCCACAGATATTTCCTGGCTTGCTACAGGTATTAATCCGGAACTTAAGAAGGCTGGCCGATGAGATAGTTTTCCTGTCTGGTTTCAGGTATTAATCTCTGACCTGAGAAAGAAAGATAGTTTTCCTGTCTGGTTTCAGGTATTAATCTTCAATCTCTTCAAAGTAGATAACTTTCCTGTCTGGTTTCAGGTATAGATCTACAATCAGTCGTCCACAGATATTTCCTTGCTTGCTACAGGTATTAATCCGGAACTTAAGAAGGCTGGCCGATGAGATAGTTTTCCTGTCTGGTTTCAGGTATTAATCTCTGACATGAGAAAGAAAGATAGTTTTCCTGTCTGGTTTCAGGTATTAATCTTCAATCTCTTCAATGTAGATAACTTTTCTGTCTGGTTTCAGGAATAGATTTACAATCAGTCGTCCACAGCTATTTCCTGGCTTGCTACAGGTATTAATCCGGAACTTAAGAAGGCTGGCCGATGAGATAGTTTTCCTGTCTGGTTTCAGGTATTAATCTCTGACCTGAGAAAGAAAGATAGTTTTCTTGTCTGGTTTCAGGTATTAATCTTCAATCTCTTTAATGTAGATAACTTTCCTGTCTGGTTTCAGGTATATATCTACAATCAGTCATCCACAGATATTTCCTGGCTTGCTACACGTATTAATCCGGAACTTAAGAAGGATGGCCGATGAGATAGTTTTCTTGTCTGGTTTCAGGTATTAAACTCTGACCTGAGAAAGAAAGGTAGTTTTCATGTCTGGTTTCAGGTATTAATCTTCAATCTCCTCAATGTAGATAACTTTCCTGTCTGGTTTCAGGTATAGATCTACAATCAGTCGTCCACAGATATTTCCTGGCTTGCTACAGGTATTAATCCGGAACTTAAGAAGGCTGGCCGATGAGATAGTTTTCCTGTCTGGTTTCAGGTATTAATCTCTGACCTGAGAAAGAAAGATAGTTTTCCTGTCTGGTTTCAGGTATTAATCTTCAATCTCTTCAATGTAGATAACTTTCCTGTCTGGTTTCAGGTATAGATCTACAATCAGTCATCCACAAATATTTCCTGGCTTGCTACAGGTATTAATCTGGAACTTAAGAAGGCTGGCCAATGAGATAGTTTTCCTGTCTGGTTTCAGGTATTAATCTCTGACCTGAGAAAGAAAGATGGTTTTCCTGTCTGGTTTCAGGTATTAATCTTCAATCTCTTCAATGTAGATAACTTTCCTGTCTGGTTTCAGGTATAGATCTACAATCAGTCGTCCACAGATATTTCTTGGCTTGCTACAGGTATTAATCCGGAACTTAAGATGGCTGGCCGATGAGATAGTTTTCCTGTCTGGTTTCAGGTATTAATCTCTGACCTGAGAAAGAAAGATAGTTTTCCTGTCTGGTTTCAGGTATTAATCTTCAATCTCTTCAATGTAGATAACTTTCCTGTCTGGTTTCAGGTATAGATCTACAATCAGTCGTCCACAGATATTTCCTGGCTTGCTACAGGTATTAATCCGGAACTTAAAAAGGCTGGCCGATGAGATAGTTTTCCTGTCTGGTTTCAGGTATTAATCTCTGACCTAGGAAAGAAAGATGGTTTTCCTGTCTGGTTTCAGGTATTAATCTTCAATCTCTTCAATGTAGATAACTTTCCTGTCCGGTTTTAGGTATAGATCTACAATCAGTCATCCACAGATATTTCCTGGCTTGCTACAGGTATTAATCCGGAACTTAAGAAGGCTGGCCGATGAGATAGTTTTCCTGTCTGGTTTCAGGTATTAATCTCTGACCTGAGAAAGAAAGATAGTTTTCCTGTCTGGTTTCAGGTATTAATCTTCAATCTCTTCAAAGTAGATAACTTTCCTGTCTGGTTTCAGGTATAGATCTACAATCAGTCGTCCACAGATATTTCCTTGCTTGCTACAGGTATTAATCCGGAACTTAAGAAGGCTGGCCGATGAGATAGTTTTCCTGTCTGGTTTCAGGTATTAATCTCTGACATGAGAAAGAAAGATAGTTTTCCTGTCTGGTTTCAGGTATTAATCTTCAATCTCTTCAATGTAGATAACTTTTCTGTCTGGTTTCAGGAATAGATTTACAATCAGTCGTCCACAGCTATTTCCTGGCTTGCTACAGGTATTAATCCGGAACTTAAGAAGGCTGGCCAATGAGATAGTTTTCCTGTCTGGTTTCAGGTATTAATCTCTGACCTGAGAAAGAAAGATAGTTTTCTTGTCTGGTTTCAGGTATTAATCACTATACCAAATTTGGCTTTTAGCAGCACCCCTACGAAAGCGCTTTTAGGAAAAGCGCTGGCATAGGCTTCGCTAAAGACAAAATTAAAAAACACGCTAAAAAAGCGCTCTTATAGTGGGGGGGGTATGAAAGCGCTTTTAAAAAGCGCTCTGGTAAGGGGGGGTATGAGAGCGCTTTTGAAAAGCGCTTTGGTAAGGGGGGGTATGAGAGCGCTTTTGAAAAGCGCTTTGGTAAGGGGGTATGAGAGCGCTTTGGTAAGGGGGTATGAGAGCGCTTTTCAAAAGCGCTCTGGTAGGGGGTGGGGTACAAGAGCGCTTTACCCTTAAAAGCGCTGGTATAGCTACATCTACTAAGGCGCTTTTCAAAAGCGCTTTCATAGCCTTTTTAAAATTAAAATTTTTAAAAACAAAATTATACAAACCCCATCCGTCTTCTCACATCAACCTTCACACTCCAAAGTCCAGACCTCAGTACTGTTACGAACTTCCATAACCTTCACTTCTGCCTCATCTCCATCCGTAAAACCCCATCCGCGACCGTTACTTCACTGCTGCCGCCATTCTTCTTCTATTTCCATTTGTTCAAAGCTCCGTCACTTGCCGTCACCGTCACTTGCCGTCACTTCCTCAGCCATCTCCGTCGCTCCTACTTCAAACGTGGTTCCCTGTTATCATCATCAACAACATCCAACTTCCAATTTTCTACAAATTATCTTAGGTAACATTACTTGATTTTCATAGTTTTGTTGAATACTTGAGTAATTTCTGCATGCATATTATGTGTTTGTGATAATGTTTATGTGAATTTGTGATGTAGATTTTAACATAGATTTGTAGACATAACATTTGCACATTAGGTGTACGTAGAAATTCCTCATAGAATTGAATTGCTAATTCTTGACATAAGAACTAATTCTTGATATTGTCCTCATAGAATTTAATACCTTTTTTGATAAGTCGACATAAGGTTCTATGGGATAGTTTTGTTTAAAGGCATTTAAACTGAAGAGTTGTAGAGAATCTTTAAAACTCATCTCTTTAACTTCATATATCTTACTAGCTTCGGCGTTCTTTAGTACCTGCATGTCTCTACTAGTCACAATGATTCTAGTACCCTCCCCGAAGTTACTGCAGGTTCCAATTAAATCTTTAACTTGATTTGAATGACACACATCATCAAGAACAAGGAGAGCCTTTGTACTTTTGAGACTTAATCCAGAGGATGTGCTGTCTTCCCCTAGAAGCTCTGATATATATTTGTTTTTCACATGGTATACTCCAGCTCTTTCTACTTCTTGTCCAACATTTAGAATAATACTCCTTGAACTGAAATTAGTTGCCAGTTTGTGATATATTGCTCTAGCAATTGTTGTTTTGCCTATTCCTCCCATACCCCAAATTCCTACAACTCTAAAGTCTTCTGACTCAAGGTGCAACAAAGATTGTATTTGTTCAATATGCTTCTCAATTCCAATCATACCCTGATAATCGTTCAAGAAAGAGTGATTCAAATTCAATTTTCTTGAAATATCTTTCACAATTTCTTCAATAAGCATGTTTTCTGGTCTGGTGCATAATAAAAAAAGAAATGCATTAGTTAAAAACGAGGATCAAAGTACTATTAGGCTCAAACTGTAACAAAAGAGTGACCTGGTGACTTTTGAATCCCAACCAGAGAGTCCAGCTACTTGTGTTAGAGCAGCTTTCCATGCATCCAGTTGATGATCCTTTAACAGCTGCCATAATCCAACTAGTAAACTTCCTAGGGATACCAACTTCATCTAAAATTGTCTTCATGGCTGGCCAATCCATAGTGTCATAAGCTTTTTGAATATCCATATGTAACATGCATCTAGGCATACCTCCTTTTCTATTGTACCCTTTAATAATCTCAAAAGCTAGTAACACATGATCATGGGTCTTTTCATAAAAGCAGTATGATTCCTACTAATAATGTACTTCCGAATTTTCCCCATTTTGCTAGCCATGACTTTAGAAATTAGCTTGTACACAGCAGTACAGCAGGAAATAGGCCTATAATCTTTTATAGTTCTATCTTTCTAATGCTTTGGAATCAAGGTAACCAAAGTTCTATTAAATCTCTTATCCATATTCCCTTTATTGAAAAAATTCAGCACCACATTAATAACATCATCTTTAACTATGCTCCAAGTTTTTTTTGAAAAAATTAGCACCAAAGCCATCGACCCCTGGGGCTTTTAGGTTATCTAAACTCCTTAAAGCATCTTCAACTTCACTAACAGTCACAGGTTGTACCATCTTTTCCCTTTGATCCATGGTTAACTGGTTGCCTCTTCTAAGGGCTCTAATACCAACTCCCTCACCAGTAACCTGAGCCATGCCCATGAGGCTGCCATAAAACCTTAACACCTTTTTCTCAATATCATCTTAGCTCACAATCATAGTACCATCCTTTTTGAAAAGCCTAGTGATCATCTTATGTTTTTGTTTACTTTTGAGAGTAGTATGAAAATATGAGTTGTTCCCATCACCAAGTCTTATCCAATTAATCTTGGCACGCAACCTCATAATTTGCTCCTCATTTTCAATGAAAGTTAGAAGCTGATCATTTTCCCTCTTCTCCTACATAATCAGGTTTTTGTTCATTTTGTCAGCAAGCAGATTCTGCTGAGTTTCACTAAGATTGTTGTGCGCTTTTTCAATTTGATGCTTTAAACCCATCAGAGGTTTCTGAGCTTCTTCACCATAGGCTGAAGCCTCATTAATTTATTCCACAAAGCTTTTTGGGACTACCGGTAGTAGGTCTTTTCCAGATTTTAGCCACTTCAGTAGTATACTTTGCCATATTTGTCACCTTATTAATAAACTTGAAACTATTCTACTTTTTCCTAACCTCATCCTGCTGTAAGAAAAGCGGGGCATGGTAAAAAATTCTAGGGTCAAACACATAGAGTTAGTGTTGTTATCTATGGGGGTATTCGGTGAGGATTGAAGATAGAAAATAGGCAAAAGGATGAGCCTTGGCAGATCTGATAGTAACATATACATATTTTAATATTTTCTTATTATAATAAAATATTCTATTCATCAATTATTTGCTGATTCTTTTGATATGTTATGATAGAATGATAATGTTTCATGGATCTGGTTTTCTTTACACTCTAGTTAATCACTTTTTCTTTTGTCTAGAGTTAATCACATTTTAAATGTAGGTAGTTTAGTTGAATGTATGATTAATTTTGATCATGTTAAATATTGTGAAATTATAATTAAATATATATAGTTAATTGATTCTTTCTTTATGTCACAAAGAAATTGATGAAGAGAACTATCATAAGGTAAAAGATAAAGATGAAATTGTTTTTGAAATATATCAATCTTAAAGTATGTTTTAAAACTTTAATTGATAAAGAGAAAGGGAATTTATTTTTAGATCGTCAAAATTAAAAAGTTGAAGAAAAAACAATTAGAAGATTTATAGCAGACATCAAAACCACAAGTAGGTGTTTTGAGGATAGAGACGGCATGGTGGGAGTTTGATGATGAAGAAAAATATTACTGGACTGCTTATTTATTATCTATGGGTTTAGTTTCTTTTGTTGTTAAATACTTTATTATTTTTAGTAAAAGGGGTTGAGTTTTGAGGACATCTTTAGCAAAAAAAGGCGGTGCTTTTGTGCCTCGATACCGTTCGACACTCGCAACAATGGTTGATATGTCCGATTTGAAGGATGGTGGTTTACGTGAAATCAACATGGATGAAAGTGTCTTCGGTATTGAATTCCAGTCACATATTACATTTGATGACTTGGAAGAGATTTTTACCCATGATCAACTAGGCGTCAGTAATATGCACTCATACATCCGGTAATATTCACTCATCCGATATATTATTTAATTAGTCCCACAATATAATTTATTTACACATTTCAATGAAAATAATCTAATGTTTATTATGTTTTTATTTAAGGTTGTTGTATGACAGAGTGTTGCGCGGGACTGCATTGTCTGACAGATTCCGTTTCGTGTCTTCCGCCCATTGCAGCGGAATGACAATTGCTTCGGAACCGGAATCAGTTAGACAGCGCTTAGTAGATAGATTCATGTCCACCGGCAATACAGAAAGTCTGCATCTTTGGGCGTATAATACCCGACCAGTAGGGTTAGTTTCTCATTCTTGGTTCATCTAATCTCTGTTTCTTTTGTGTATAGCAAAATTTTCATATAACCTATTGTTTTAATTTATAGAGCACACTGGTTGCTGCTTGCTATCAACCCGATAAGAGAAGTCGTGTATTATCTGAATTCGGTAAATGGTGAATGGACCAATTATCCGGCTATGAAGGAAATCGTTGATTTGTAAGTGGGATCGTTCTAAATATATATTCGTGTATATTTATATATTTTCTTATTTGTGGGATTGATTTAAACATATGCTTTTATATATTTAATAATTAGATCAATACAAGTGTTCCGTAGTCAACGGGACGCACAGGTATCCCGAACTAAATCGAACAACATCACTTGGATCCAAGTGCAGGTACATTACTTTTCACAATTTTGCTTATAATATTTATGCTACTTGGTAAAACAAGACAACTATAGAATCTTATTTGTTTTATTATGTAGTGTCCGCAACAGCGAAACAGTCATGATTGCGGATACTTTGTTTTGAGGTTCATGAAAGAAATCCTTCAGGCGAATCAATTAGAGATTCCGCTCACGGTATGAATTTATAACTTAAGATAATTTCATATAATTTATTACATTTAACTAAATATATCATTTATATTATGTTTTTGTTTTGTAGTACCTTGACGAATTCCGTGCTGCTGCGTACCCGAAGCTTAAGTTGGAAGAAATTAAAGAAGATTTGTGTCAATATTATATTAGGCAATTTTTCATGTAGGATTTGTGTCGATTTGAACTATAATATTATTGATGTAATGATGTATATATATAATTTTGGATATTATAATGGTATTATATTAGTACATATATTGTCTTACTGATGGCTGAAATAATAGCGTCGAAAATATATTACAGGTCAAAAATATATTACAGGTCGAAAATATTACAGGTCGAAAACATTACAGGTCGACTGGGAGGATTAAATTATAGGCTGCACATAAAAATACCTCATTTAGAAACGACAGCGCTTTTAAAAAGCGCTCTTAAAGGTCCACCTACTAAAGCGCTTCTTAGTAAAAGCGCTGCCAAAGACCAGTAAAAAAGCAAAAAAAATTAAAAAAAAACGCAGCCTACAAAAGCGCTTTTGTAAAAGCGCTCTGGTAGGCCCCCCTATAAGAGCGCTTTTTCTGGAAAAAGCGCTCTTATAGGGGGGCCTACCAGAGCGCTTTTACAAAAGCGCTTTTGTAGGCTGCGTTTTTTTTTAATTTTTTTTGCTTTTTTACTGGTCTTTGGCAGCGCTTTTAAAAAGCGCTCTTAAAGGGGGGTCTACCAGAGCGCTTTTTCCAGGAAAGCGCTCTTATAGGGGGTCCTACCAGAGCGCTTTTTCCAGGAAGCGCTCTTAAAGGGGGGGTCTACCAGAGCGCTTTTAGAAGCGCTTTTGTTACCTACGCCAGCGCAAGCTTTTAAAGCGCTTTTAAGCGCTTTTAAAGCCCAAAAAAAGCGCTTTTAAAGGTCTTTTTTGGCGTAGTGAATCTTCAATCTCTTTAATGTAGATAACTTTCCTGTCTGGTTTCAGGTATATATCTACAATCAGTCATCCACAGATATTTCCTGGCTTGCTACACGTATTAATCCGGAACTTAAGAAGGATGGCCGATGAGATAGTTTTCCTGTCTGGTTTCAGGTATTAAACTCTGACCTGAGAAAGAAAGGTAGTTTTCATGTCTGGTTTCAGGTATTAATCTTCAATCTCCTCAATGTAGATAACTTTCCTGTCTGGTTTCAGGTATAGATCTACAATCAGTCGTCCACAGATATTTCCTGGCTTGCTACAGGTATTAATCTGGAACTTAAGAAGGCTGGACAATGAGATAGTTTTCCTGTCTGGTTTCAGGTATTAATCTCTGACCTGAGAAAGAAAGATGGTTTTCCTGTCTGGTTTCAGGTATTAATCTTCAATCTCTTCAATGTAGATAACTTCCCTGTCTGGTTTCAGGTATAGATCTACAATCAGTCGTCCACAGATATTTCCTGGCTTGCTACAGGTATTAATCCGGAACTTAAGAAGGCTGGCCGATGAGATAGTTTTCCTGTCTGGTTTCAGGTATTAATCTTCAATCTCTTCAATGTAGATAACTTTCCTGTCTGGTTTCAGGTATAGATCTACAATGAGTCGTCCACAGATATTTCCTGGCTTGCTACAGGTATTAATCCGGAACTTAAGAAGGCTGGCCGATGAGATAGTTTTCCTGTCTGGTTTCAGGTATTAATCTCTGACCTGAGAAAGAAAGATGGTTTTCCTGTCTGGTTTCAGGTATTAATCTTCAATCTCTTCAATGTAGATAACTTTCCTGTCTGGTTTCAGGTATAGATCTACAATCAGTCGTCCACAGATATTTCCTGGCTTGCTACAGGTATTAATCCGGAACTTAAGAAGGCTGGCCGATGAGATAGTTTTCATGTCTGGTTTCAGGTATTAATCTCTGACCTGAGAAAGAAAGATAGTTTTCCTGTCTGTTTTCAGGTATTAATCTTCAATCTCTTCAATGTAGATAACTTTCCTGTCTGGTTTCAGGTATAGATCTACAATCAGTCGTCTACAAATATTTCCTGGCTTGCTACAGGTATTAATCCGGAACTTAAGAAGGCTGGCCGATGAGATAGTTTT